AATTCAAAATGGCGTCCAAGATGGCCGCCATATATTTTTCACATATCCACAAATCATACTAATGTAGTCACCCTACAGTTGTGGTTTCAGCGGCAATCCCTATGTTTTCCTAGTCATAAAATCTATTGGTGACATCTAAAATGTGATTGAATAAAAAGGTCAACAATAAATATAAAATTCAAAATGGAGTCAATACGTCTAACAGCTATCAAGCACTCTTCTTTTGGAGCCGTGTTTTTGTGTTTAATAATACATATAGCGAATAATGACAATACTCATATGAAAGGGCAGGGAACAAAATGGAACGAAGCAAATAAAACTGATACGAATGGTAACTAGACTAGGACGGTGTGCCATTCTCCAGCACTCCAGGAACATATCTTCACAGGGGTCACAATCTCATAATAATGCCACCAAGGGGAAATGTGCTATTGTCACAGTTGCCAAGTTGGCAGTGTCAACAAGCTGTAATACATTCTAACCCATGTTGTCTGCAATTACCTTTCACTGTAATAATAGTTGCATCGGATTATTTTTGATAGCGTGTCAGGTGCAGATTTATTTATTTATGAAAGAGTTTATAAAAGAGTGTTATTTGTTCAGGAATGATACCATGATTTTCTTTTGCATTGTCAAGTGCATCCTCAAGCATTTTGATCTCATACCGACACTCAAATAGAAGAGCATCAAATAATTCCTCAACATAACCTATAAAATAGAAAAAAAATGTACACATCATTGAAAAAATATATGTGGATCCCATATCAATTATTTGAATTGTTTTTCTTTATGATCAAATAAATATTTAGTTTTAATACAGTATTTACAGTTCACATGAGAATGCTGAGAGTAAAGTATTAATTAATTTTTTAAGTTAAGTAGTAATTGCATAACCACTAAGAAGAACCAAATCAACACACACACACTAAAAAAAATTACTGGCTATATTATCTTCCTCCAAATAAAGACTACATTTCTGCTTCCCAAAATAAATATCTATCCTAATGGTGTTATTGGTTCTTCATTATGGTAAGCAACAAAACATGCATACAAAATGTGGATTCTTCCTTTACAGCTTTTAATACAGATTATTTTCTTTTTTTCAATGTTAGAAAACAAACTGCCAATTTTGCTTCTCCTTCTCTGGTTAATGCCTGGTGTTGTTTCTTTTGGTTGACCATTATCTTCTATAACAATGTCAGAAACAACTTCATTTGCATCTGCATTTTAGTAAGGTTTCTAGTACAGTACCTAGCAAGTAAAAAAAATAATAAAAATGTCAATGCTAGACCAGCAGAAACTATTAAATTAGGTTAGCCTTAAGCCGGTTTTCCACTTGGCGAATTATTTGCGCGAATCAAAGCGTCGGTTCACTTCCTGAGCTCTGATTGGTTGCGCATTTTTTCGCTTTGCAAAAACTCTGATAGGAATGTGAATGCGCATGAACCAACGCTTTTGATTTGCAGGAATAAATGCGCCTAGTGGAAAACCGTCTTAACGCAGACTTATCAAGTTAGTAAAAAGCATTTCTGTAACCCAGTCCTCAAATATCCATAGTAAATGCAAAATTTCTGAAGCACCTAATAATTTGTCTTGATTGCAAACAATTATGGGTACAGGAAAATAATAATTGTGGAATTCTAAACAACAGGCCATTTTTTTTCTTAGTTTTTGCAATAATTTTTTCAGGCTGACAAAACGAGATTTGTCTAGAGACAATGTAACCAAAGTTCCTGATGGAAAAGTAATTTGTTCTTTAATTTAGACCTATTATGTGTATTATACACATAAATAACAGATAGGCCTATGATAAATTTCCGCAGTAGCCCCTAGTAGTATTTTATCTATTTCCATACATCCGTATTAATTAGAAAAAATTTCTATACAACTACTGAAATTCAGTACTGTAGTATTTGACAAGTCTAGTATAGCTATCTCGATAAAGAATGTTAGGGTTGGCAACACGACTAGTAATATAGTATTAGATTTGCAACGCCCCTAGGCCTAGCCTACCTGGCCCACAGCAGCGGCAGTAGTAAAAGTAGGTAGGAACACTCACCATGCCCATGGCATATCTATATGAAATTGTGCTGCCTCTTCTTAAAATGAACAAGGTCTAGCCTAGGCCAGTCCCTAAATAGGCTAGGCTACTGTAGTACATTGCAGCATGGAGGAAATATACTTAAATATATTTCCTCCATAATTGATGATGATAGGCCTACACATTGACAGGCAAGGCATACACTATCATTATCATATATAGCTTAGGCCTAGCTACTACAGCTCTAGGCGCCTAGCCTAGGTGCTATTACTCTACTATGATCACTCAACTTAACTCCTTTTTCCTTCCTTTTTAATAAGCCCCACATATCTTGGGTGGAAGTGTAGGTTATTGAATTAAAATAGTAGGCGCTGCATTCGTTTTTAGCTTCCTTATATATTTTTCCTTGTATACAGTAGGTAACTTTTCAAACACACTTTATTTGCAATTTAATATAATATTTCAGTATTTTTATACTTTTGTAAATATATTCAGAATAGATAAAAAAAAAACTTCAATCAGTAGAATTATGGAACGATTAAACTCGTACAGGTAGCAGGCAATGGGACAATATTTTCTGTTGCCTCTGCCAAGTGCGAGTTTTCACGTCTGCTTTTTGCATGGGTTGTCAGGGTTTGAATTTACTCAAAATCTCCATCAGCAAGAAGTTGCTGTAGGCTATGGCTTTACTACAGCAAATTATTCTTCTACAGCAACAATCAACAGTTTTTATTGTTTTACGGGTAAAATCAGTTGTTAGGCCTACTGTAGCCTGGGTTAAGCAACTTGACAGCTAAAAGCTTGCTGTCGATCCTGGGATTTACCGTAGTAGAAAGCCCTTTCTACAGCAATTGCTGTCGGTGCTGTCGGAAAATTTGAACCCTTGGTTGGTATATGTTCAGAGGTTATCCACTCATGCAATCTTTTGTACTGCTGGCAACATAACACAACAAACATACATATGTTATTTGTACGTTATCGTCTACGTGAATCTTCCCCAAACTATCAGCTGTTAAGTCTGGTTCTATAATATAACAATGAAGTAATAAATGCTAGAATGTTACCCCATTTTTAACAAGAATAGTCGTTTCCCTTAGCAACACCCTGTGGGACTAGTATACTTGTCACTGGAGTGGCAACGAACATGTTAATAAAAAATTTTGAACCCCGAGTTTAAATATAAATTTTAAAATTCAAAATGAAAAAAAAATTGTTTATTAGATTAAGGTTAATTATTTAACAACATTGTATATTTTTTTATGTATTGTTTTATATATTTTACTATGTATTGAGATGCGAATAAATTCAAATAAAATCCAGTTCTTTTCTCTTACAATAAAAGCATGCATTAATCATTAGAAACCTTTTACTACCACCCACAATAAAAGCATGCATTAATCATTAGAAACCTTTTACTACCACCACCAAAATGAGCCTTTGAATTTGCAGAATTTAGCCTTGAACCAGAACTTTTATTCCCAAACCTTTAACTAGAAACAACAGATTTTAATATTAACAATATTGTGCATTAGTAGGTAACTATTTTTCATTAATGTGTCTACTTAATCTGTTTAATGTGTCTACTTAATCTTTTTTATTAATATGTTAGTTTGTGTGTGAAACCCGGTTGTCATCCAATTTAACATTGTTAGTCTCAGATCCCTTTCACACTTTAAATCCCACCTTAAAATACATTTATAAACATACACTTCAAATAAATCTCCTTGCGGGGTCCAGGTGCAGAGCCCCTGGTGGGGGTCCAAGTGGGCGAAGCCCCCTTGAAGCCCAGCACATTTGAGGAATATGAGGTTGTATTGAGTCAATTTTGACTATCTAGCATCATAGTTTTCAGTAACAAATAAATAAAAAAAAATAGGTGTATATCTTTTAAAAGAAATTTTAATATATAGGGTACCTGCAATATGCAACTATGTGTCATTAAATTAGTAATAATTCATCTACTCACAGCTGTGGGTTTTAGTGCCTCTTCCATGAACATCTCAAACATAATCTTTGACAACATGCGAAGGCTCATAAATGTACACCATTTCAAAAGATAAATTTCACTTCTAGAAAACATGATGAAGTTTCTCAGCAACATTGAGCATAAAAATCACAAAATCACAAAATCAGCAAAAAGGAAAACTAATATCCAAAATCCGTTAAAAAAGTTGTCAAACAACAAAATCCGCTACTGTATATTAACATTGAGTAAATTCCAAGTGTTCTATTTCTCACCAAGTGGATTTATGAATAGCACTCTCCTAGGGTGTTTTTGGTAGGAAAAGAAGACTTAAACAATGTGGGTGTAATTTTTTTTTGCAAAAAAATGGGGGGAGGGGGCTGTACGCCCCTTACGTGCTATCCCTCCTAAATCCGCCACTGGAATAGGCCTAGGTTTAGGTAGGCCTACTTTGTTTCATGTCAATTAGAGACATGATTATACAATTTCATACAGTATATCTTGTAAATTACACAATATGATTAAACCAGGTGCTGTACTTGAAAATAATAAGGAAGCAAAACTAACACGTCAAAAGTGTCAAATGTTGTCTACACAAAAACTGTGCTTTATTAAAAGAGTATTAGTCTACTGAAGGGTTGTCGTCAATGGAGATGTGCACACGTCAGTGTACTTGTGGTCACTGTGCATGGGGTTGTCTGACAGCACATACCTGCTGACCTCGATAGAGAGTAATTGCACAAAGGTTTCCATGCTGGTGCATCTGTGCTTAAACTGTCTTTGTAGCTATGCATTGCGCGATGTGACATAGAATCAACTTTTCTATGGAATTGTGTATCCATTCAATTATCTCCAAAAAAAAAACCATTAAATTATCTCAAAAAAAAAAAAAAAAAAAAAAAATTTTTTTTGTATTATATATTATGTATTATAGAAAATGTAATATTATCAAACACAATTTATGTACTGAATTAATAAAGTATTTGTTCTTTTAAGAAGTCAGTTTCTTAGCACATCAGCATGTTGTCAACAGTTTTCAACAAGTTTTAACTCTCACAAGCCAGAGAATGACTTTCGTCGGATCCTGAAGAGGTTAGATGATGCTGTACGAGCTACAGGTAGAATCACACAGAACCAACTTACTGCTGTATTTTCCGAAGTCTGCAAAATGAGTAAGTGTGGATTTAGACCATGTAGATCATTCTGATATAATAGATGAATGTGTAAACTTGAAAATTATTTGGAATTCCTAATACAGTTGGATCTCTGACTTGCGACACCTCAAATTATAAAATTATATTGTATGACTGGGCAATTTTCCTTGAAACGTATGAAAAGCTTACTTTAAATAGTACTCTGATTAAAATAGTTTTAAATATTAATTATTTTATATTTAAAACTGACTTTTAGACCTAATTTTAAATCTTGTATGTACCATTAATCATTAAAATTTAATGCCTAATTTAAGAACAAGTATTTGATGAAGCATTAACAACAGTGGGCTCTTGTTTACGACTTTAGAGTATTAGTGCTAGCTCTATTCAATAGACCGAATCGGCGGCTCGGGTCACGTGACTTACAGTGGGTATTCGGGTTTGTTTGCAATCAAGTGAGATCGTGAGACGACAATGCATTGTATGGCTTCGTCTTGTTGTTTCTGTAAGGCAACATCAGAGATGTTGCAAATGTTGGTTGGAACGCTAGTTACAAGTTGGTAAATCACTTACTATACATTGTTAGTAGCCTACACTAGCAGCATATTCCGGAGCCTAAATAAAATGCTCAGAGATTGCCAAAGTAATTATAAAATCACAAAGGCCGCAGGGCTTGCCCTAACTTTTTTTGGTAACCAGCCCACTGGGCTAATTTACTAGAGATTTTACTAGCCCACAGAATATTTTACTAGCCCACAGACAGGAAAAAATTTTGTTTCACAATATTTATTAGCGACAATTAAATTTGAAGGTTGATTTTCAATTTCTGTAGCATTGCTGTTTGAGCTACCCTCTCAAAATATTGTTGAATAA